TTTGTCAGTATATTTTATAAAATATTATTTTCAATGATAATATTCAATTTTTTTAAACAATACTTTTCAAGGATCATCAGTGCTAAATATTTTTAATTTTAATATTGTTTTTTAGCATGATGGCTTTCATTGTGACACTTTTAAGAACATTTTTTGAAAATTAATTCGAAAGGACCTCAGCTCTTTAATAGTTTATTTTATAAATATTTTTTTTTTCAAAGATAATAGTCAATTTTTATTAATTAATACGTTTCAAGGATCATCAAGGCTATAATTATGAATAAGAAAAATATATATTTTTTTGAACTTTTTTGAAGAACATTTTAAAGAAGCCTGATGGATTTTTTAGTGACATTTTTAAGAAAATTTTTAAAAATTAATTCAGAAGGATCTCAGATCTTTGTTAGTATATTTCATAAAGTATTTCTTTTTTTTTCAAGGATAATATTCATTAAAAAAAAATACTTTTCAAGGATCATCAAGGCTTAAATCGTGGATTTTTTCAGAATATTTTTAAAGAGGTGCCGGGGCCATAATCGTAAAGTTTAAGATCAAAGAACATTTTTCAAGGACAATCCTTCATTTTTTGCGGATTTTTTAAATAATGTTTTTAAAGGACATTCATGGCTTTAATACAAAATTTTTTGGGAATATTTTTAAAGGACTAGAATGGTTATAATAGTAAATTTTTTAAAGAGTATTTGTCAAAGATCATCCAGCCTACAATCGAGGATTTTTTTGTGGAATATTTTTAAAGCATTGCCAGCGGCTATAAGTGTGAGTTTTTAAAGAATATATGTTAAGGATCATCGAATATTTTTAAAGAGTATTTTTTAAAGGTCTATAATCGTGATTTTTTTTTAGATAATGTTTTTCAAGGACAATTAGGCCTACAATCGTGGATTTTTTAAAAAAAAAATATTTTTCGAGGATCAAAAAGGCTATGATTGGAGCTTTTGTTATAAAATATATTTCAAAGCCCATAAAAGTATATTTTTCAAGGACTATAATCGTAAATTTTTTAAATAATATTTTTCAAGGATAATCAGGACTGTAATGGTGAATATTTCAAGAATATTTTAAGGGCAATCAGAGCTATGATAGTAGGTTTTTTAAGGGAGAGTTTTCAAGGACAGTCATGGCTAGAATTGTGATTTTTTGAAGGATTATTTTCGAAGACCATTTTTTAAGGACAGCCATGGCTATAATCGTGAATTTTTTAAAGAATTGTTTTCGGTTCATTAGGGTAGTTATCGAAAATTTTCAAAAAAAGGAGGATTACCAGGATTGAATCGTTGGTTTTTTAAGAAATATTTTCAAGAACAGCCACGGGTATAATCGCGAATGTTTTAAAGAATTATTTTCAAACTTTTTTCAGGGTTATAATCGAAGATTTTCAAAAAAAAAAAATATTCTTCAAGGATTTTCAGAATTGAATCGTTGATTTTTAAAGAATTGTTTTCAAGGAACATCGGAATTTTTTAAAGAATATTCTTCAAGGACCATTAGAACTATAAACGTGGGCTTTTTAAAGAATATTTTTCGGATGCCACCGGGGATGTATTCGAGGATAATCGTGGATTTTTAAAGGATATTTTCCAAAGATAAACATGGATATGGATATTTTTTAACTATGTGGAGAATTTGTAAAAAATATTTTCCAAAGATCCTGGGGGCTATCGTCTTGGATATTTAAACATATTAGTCAGGGATCGTTAGGATCATCAGGACTATAATCGTAGATTTCTAAATAAAATTTTTTGGAGACCCTCATAGGAGATTTTTAAAAGAATATTTTCCAACGATAAACATTGCTGTAGGCTTGGATTTTTTGATAATCGTCGTCAATCTTTAAGAAATATTTTTCAGGTCTGTATTCTTGGTTATATTTATCATATAATTTTTCAAATATTTCCTCCTGAATTATTTTTTAATTTAAAATTACCCCTTATATAAATTTTATTTTATTTTTTATTTTATGTATTTTTTTATTTAAAATATATGTATAAATAAATTATATATTTTTTCTTTAATATTTTTGTAACATATTTTTTATACAAACAATTTTTAATTTTTTTTTTCTGCTTCATCTAAAATCTAACACATTAAAAATAATTTAATACAGTTTTTATTAATTTTCACAATATTTTTTTTTTGTTTTGTTTTTTTATTTATTTTTTTGCTTTTGGTTTGGTTGGTTTTACTAATCATCGAATGGAAGGAATTGGTTTGTTGATGTATACAAAAAAACATATATTTAAAAGTTATGCCTCTATAATAATAAATTATTAAAAATAATAATATTTCTATAAATAATTCTTACAACGTTTTTATTTTACAAAAATTGTTTTGCGTGTCTTTTGTTTTTTAATTTTTTTCATTTAACAGAAAAATCAGTCATTTTTGATTATTTTACTCATTTGTTTTGTTGGTATATTTATTCAAAGGATTTTTATAAATAAAAAAAAAATAATAAAACAATGGCGATTTTTCTTATGTTAAAATGTGATTTTAAAGTAATTTTTTGTTTTATACATTCGTTAAATTTGGCCAGTTTCGAAATATACACATCTTTATTTTTTTGGATTTTAATATTTTTTATAATTTTTTTTTATAAAAAATTTGTAACTGAAATAATAAATATACTTTTTATAATATAAGAAATATGTATATATTTTTTAAATAATATAACATGAGAAAATATGTAAAAAATATTTTTTTAATAATATTTTTTAATAATATTAAAAATATTTTAATATAAAAATTTTTTTAATATTAAATTTTTAATATGAAACTGAAATAAGAAAAATATTTTTTATTTATAATATAAGTAATACATATATTTTTTTTTAATAATATAAAGGGAGAAAAATGTGTAGGAATCATGATTTTTGATATAAGAAATATATTTTTTTAATTGATATTAAAAAAATTAAATTTTTTATAAAACAAAAATCGGACCTGATTTAAGAAAAATATGTTTTATTATATAAAAAATATATAAATATTTTTTAAAGGACAATAATATTAAAAAAATATGTATTTTTAATATAACAAAAATTGGAACTGAATTAAAAAAAATATTTTTTATAATATAAGAAATATGTATATACTTTTTTTAAATAATATAAAGGGAGAAAATATATAAAAATAATTTTCTATAATATAAGAAAAAATTTTTTCAAATAATATAAACAAAAATATTTATTTATTTATATAACAAAAATTGGAACAGAAATTTTAATTTTTTTTTATAATATAAGAAATATTTTTCTAAATAAAACTAAGCAAGAAAAAATTATAAAAAAAAATTCATGATATGAGAAGCATTTTTTAAATAGTGCTAAATGAGAAAAAAATTTAAATTTGTATAAATTAAATTTTTACAAATTTATTAAATTTAATTTGTATGAATAAAAATGAAAACAATTAATTTACAAAAATATATATATATAAAAAAATTAAATTAAATTGTATATATTTTTTACAAATTAAAATATTAGTTTGTATATATAAAATAATAAACTAAATAAAAAATTATATAAGAAATTATTTTAAAAAATATTAAATTAAAAAAGAGAAACAAAGCAAAAAATAAAAAAAAAAATATTTATTTATTATTTATTTATTTAATATATAAATAAAAATAAATAATAATTTATAAAAAAAATTAAATGAAATTGTATTTATTTTTTTACAAATAAAAAAATTAATTTGTATATATAACATAATAAATTAAATAAAAAATATATAAAAAATTATTTAAAAAAGAAACAAAGCAAAAAAATAAAAAAATATATATAATATATTTTAATATAAATATATAATATATTTATTTGATATGAGAACATTTTTTTGTATAAAATATATTTTTAATATAAATAAAAATAAATAATAATAAAATAAATTTTATTATTTTTTTCAAATTTATTAAGTTTAATTTGTATGTATAAAAACGAAAGAAAAAAATAAAATGTAAAAAAAATATTAAAAAAACTATTTAAAAAAAAAACTATTTTTATGAATTACAATTTAAATTTTATTTATTTTTTACAATTAAATTAAATTTAATATGTGGATAAAAAAATATAAATTAAATAACAAAAAAGGGTTATATTAAAACTTATATTTTTTTAAAAAAATAAATTAAAAATTATAAGCACACCAAAAAAATTGTTTTTGACAATTGAATAATAATAAAATAAATTTTATTAAATTTTTTCAAATTTATTAGATTTAATTTTTATGTATAAAAAGAAAAAAAAATAAAATGTAAGAAAAAAAATTATTAAAAAAATACAATTTTAATAGAATTATTTTTTTTTAATTAAATTTTATTTATTTTTTACAAATATTTTTATTTTTTGCTTTGTTAATATTTTTCAATTAATTTTTTTAAATAGAATTTTTTATATTCATTTTTTATTTAATTTATATTTTTATATATAAATTAAATTTATTTAATTTGTACAAAATAAATAACATTTAGTTTATATATAAAAAGTATATATTAAATAAAAAAATATATAAAAAATTCTATTTTTAAAAAATTTAATAGAAAAATATTAACAAACCCAAAATTAAAAAACAAAATATTTTGACATTTAATGGCAGATTTCAATGACAGTGATAGAGATAGTGTGAGAGATTGCTGTTTAATTTTTTTTTATTCATTTACATTATTTAATAATGTGTTTGCTTTTCATTGCATACTTTTGGGAAATATATGTTTCCATGTTTAATATTAACAAAATTAGTTTAAGACTTTTGCAGCTTTTAGGGATACTGCCTTTTGAAGTATTTTTTATTTTATTTTAATATCATATGATAGCTTAATAGTAGACACAGTAGAGTATATAAATAGTTAGTTGTAGTTTTGTTATATTAAAATTATTTTATTAGCATAGTTTTAGGCTTAGAAGTTACAAAAAATCATAATTTAGTAATAAAAATAATAATAAAAATTATTCACAATTTAATTGCTATTTTTTTTTGTTGTGTTTTGCTTTAAACCAAATATCTTAGCCACAGTAGGCTAAGTAAATACCACCACCAATATTGGGCTCTTATCCAATTGGAAGTACCAAAAACGGGAAAATGTATTTCCTCGGGTTCGCGCAGTTGCTCTTCCTCCTCGTCAATGACATTGGCCAGGGGTCGATAACGCAGAGTAAAGTTGACTTTTATCACTGCCTCTGCCACACCACCGGGAGAGGAGACAATGAAATAGAAGGTGCGTGGAACACGTTCATGCATGCTGACATAGGTTAGGCGGGCCTCTTTGCAAAATGGGGTGGGAAGGTCCTGGAAAAAATTAAAAAATATTTTTTATTTTCCAATTTTTAATTTAAATTTTTTTGCAAAATTACCTTGAAACCATAGGCCAGCACAGTGTTGCCATATTGATTGCCGGGCGTATAGACCCGATCACCATGCAGCCATCGGGCCGCATGGGCCGGGGGATTGGCACAAAATTCAACGGATAAATGCAGCGGGGAGCCAGGATATGCAACGGGTGTGGTATTGCGGGCCACAACGGTGGGTTGTCCTGCAAGTAAATAAATTGAAAATATTTTGAAAATTAATAAAATTCAAAAATGGGAAAAAATTTTTGTTAATAAAATGGAATAAAAGTAAAATAAATAATTTTAATTTTTAGAAAAAAAATCTAGCCCCTGGAACCAGGTGTGGGTCGAAATTTTTATTATCTCACCCTGTATATTCTTGATCAACATAAAATTCTATGTCGATTTAGCGATGACCGTCCGTCTTTCCGTCTGTCTAAATCACTCTAGCTTCCGAACGAAATGAAGTAGTTTGATAAAATTTTACTCAAATATATATTATGTTTGCAGGACTTTTTGTATTGAAAATGGACCATGAAAGTCTACGTTTTGGTATAGGTCCCATATAATGGTACCTCCTTATTTTCGGTATTTTGGTGATTTTAGCGACATTATTCACCGGAATTGTTTCAGATTTGGTATTTGAAGTTCGTAGTGGATACTACAGCCTAGGACAGAAAATTGTCTGTGCAGGTCCACGTCTTCGTATAGGCCCCATACAACGGTACCTCCCGATATTCGGTATTTTGGAGATTTAAGCGACATTATTCACTGGAATTGTTTGAAATTTGGTATTTGAAGTTCGTAATAGATACTACAGCCTGTGACAGAAAATTGTCTGTGCAGGTCCATGTCTTCGTATAGCCCCCGTATAACGGCACCTTCCGATATTCGATATTTTCATGATTATAACGACATTATTTACCGGAATTCTTTCAAATTTGGTATTTGAAGTTTGTAATGGATACTACAGCCTATGACAAAAATTGTCTGTGCAGGCCCACGTCTTCGTATAGCTCCCATATAATAGTACCTTCCTATATTCGATATTTTGATAATTATAGCGACATTATTCACCGGAATTGTTTCAAATTTGTTATTTGAGGTTCTTAATGCATACTACAGCCTGTGACAGAAAATTGTCTTTGTAGGTCCACGTCTTCGTATAGCCTCCATATAACAGTACCCCCCTATATTCGGTATTTTGATGATTTTAGCTACCGATTTTTTCAAGTTTCTTACTTAAATATTGTAATGGCTTATGACAAAATTTTTGGACCTGCATAGGGGTCCACGTCGTCTTATAGACCCTAATATATTGGCTACAGTCGGTAATTTTAAGACTTTAACTGAATTTTAAACGGATTTTATTTTTTTTATTTTTTATTTATTTATTTATTTTTTTTTTTTGAAAATGTCCAAATTCGTTCCAAATGTTAGAGGGTATGTAAAATTCGGGCCGCCCGAAATTACAGCTTTCTTACATGTTTTGAATAATTTTTTAATTTTTTTCTCATTTTAAAAATTAAAGCTTTATTTATCCGTTATTAAAAAATAACAAATCTCAAAATCTCTTTCTCATGGGAAATTATTTTTCCCTTCCCCGAAAACCCCTTTCATATATTTCATCATGAATTCAAAACTCTTCAATCCTTTCAATGAATTTGTCCCGGCTGTCATTGAAATAAAGTCGGCGGACATTTTGAAATTAGAGTTAAATGTTATCTCTAATAATGCCCCAGCACACACACACCCTCTCTCTCTCTCACACACAGACACACATACATAATCACTCTCAGATACACCAACACCCTACAACAACTATTACTACTAACACCACTACTTCCCCCAAAAAGGGACAATTATTGTACACGACTACTAGCTGTTTCTTTTGTAAAAATGTGTGTGTCTATTTTTGTGTGATTGTATGTATGTATGTGTGTCTAAGTCCCGAACAAGTTGTGACAACTTGTTTTACTGCTTACATCCGGTACTTTTCAACTTTTCAGAACTCATATCCGTTTGACTATGGTTACACGCTTGTATGAGGATGGCTCCTTTTGGGTTTTGGGCGGCCCCAAAAATATGGTTGGTAGCATCATCACGGTATTCCAAAATTTGCCAATGAGTATGGGTGCGGGTGTGTGTGTGAGTGTAAGCTATTTTGCCAATCTGAATGGAAAAGCTATTAAATAGGAGTCATTAAAAACATAACATGACAAAAGTTTCCCAAAAAAAAAGCAAAAACGAATAATTCTCTGCTCTATGGAAATTTTTTGAAAGCAGGATGATGATGATGGAATCTAAAACTGTCTGTAAAGTTGCTTCCTTTTTTTGGAGTATATTTTGGGGGGAGAGGTATCCGAAATAGTCATCAGGGATAATGTGCTGAATATATCTCATATTGAATGGTTTTTCAGTTTGTTGCCAATTTTTTTAGTTTATTTTAAATTTATTTTTTTTTTCTTTTGTGAAGGAGGTGAATGGCTTTTCATGGACAAATATTTGAATAAATTAAAAAATATTAGAAAAATTTAAATATTTCCATTGATTTTTTTTCGATACCCAAAAGTGGTAGTCGAAATTGGTAGAGAAAGAGGATGAGTTGGAAGGGTGGAGAGGGAGAGGGGGACGAGAGGGGGTTCAGAAGAGGGAGTTGAGAAAAGGGAGTAGAGGAGAGGGATTTGCGGAGAGGGTGTTGAGGAGAGGGAGTTGTGGAGAGGGAGTTGTGGAGAGGGAGTTGTGGAGAGGGAGTTGTGGAGAGGGAGTTGTGGAGAGGGAGTTGTGGAGAGGGAGTTGAGGAGAGAGGGTTGAGAAGAAGGAATTGTGGAGAGGGAGTTGAGGAGAGGAAGTAGAGGAGAGGGAGAGAGAGGCTATCTAACAATTTGTCCATAACAATTATTTTAATTGGAGTTGCAGTGTTATTTTGTGTTTGGAAAAAAAAACATAGCATACTTATAGGCGTTGAAATAAAAATTTATATATTATTTTACTAAAAGGATAATTTAGAACTAAAAAAGGCAAGCTTTCGAATGTAGACAAATGGAAAACAGGATATATTTTGCATATTTTTTTTTTTTTTTTTTGAGAAAAATAAATATCAGATGAGAGGAACTGATAAATGGACTACTAATATAGCTATCCAACAGTTGTTCATAACAATTATATCAATTGAAATTTATGTTTTCATAGTTGATTTAAGGAAAAGTAATTATAGACCAATTCGGATATTTTTTCTTAGGAAAGAACTAATCAATGTTTACAATTTTTTGCTACATAATTTTAGGCGCCATGAAACCATAATAACAATATAAATTTATATAAAAATAATATTTTATAGGAAATTAAGTGTATTTTTCTGTTAAAAAAATCATTGCATATTTTTAGGCACTAAACAACCTCCTTAAATGGAGGTTGGAACTGCATAACAAACACCAATTCTCATTTTATTTTTAATTATTATTTTTTTAAAATTGAAAAATTATTGAAATAGATACTAAACAGGTTAAAAAAAGTATCCTTCGGTCTTGCCGACATATCTCTACCCACAGCCAGTGTTCGATTATTTAACTATATATTTTTGACTTCTGTTATGATTATTCAAATTGATGACCATCTATGGAGTAGATTCCGAAAGAATGGACTAATAATTTCCATTTCGTATGGGACCTAAAATATAAAATATGATATAAATATTGTGACGTGTCGGGTTTTGACAACAGCAGATCGTGAGTTAGTACAAATAATGGGATGTGTGAAATATGAAGAGAACCTTATGCTTATTTCGAATTTTATGATCGTTGTGGTTATTCAAAATGTTGTCCCTTAGTGGGTACCAGAAGGAATGGTCCGATCTCTACCATATTTATGGCAGATCTTGTGATGATGAAAATATGGAGTTGTACCGAGTTTGAGTGGAAACAGATGTTAATTTCGCATTTTATGAGTTTCAAGGATATTCAAAATTGAGACCCCATGTGGGAGAGGTAATAGACCTATATATCCCATCTTTACAGCAAATCTTGAGTTAGTAGGAAAAATGGGATGTGTGAAATATGAAGGGAACCGGATGCTTATATTGGATTTTTTGATCGTTTTGGTTATTAAAATCATAGAACCTTAGTGGGGTAGGCACAAGAAGGAACGGTCCGATCTCTACCATCTTGGTAACATATCTTGTGTTGATGGAAATATTGAGATATGCCAAGTTCGAATGGAATTGGATGTTAATTTTGCATTTTATGAGCTTCATGGATATTCAAAATGTTGACCCTTTGTGAGGGAGGTACTAGAAGAAGTGGACCGATATATTCCATTTTCACATGAGATCTTGTGTTATTAAAAATAATGGGATGTGTGAAATATGAAGAGAACCGGATGCCTTTTTCGGATTTTATCCTCGTTTTTGTTCTTCAAAACTTTCACCCATTGTGGGGGAGGTACCAGAAGGAATGGCCCGATTTCTACCATCTTTTAAACGGATCTACTGTCGATGGAAATATGGAGATTTACCAAATGTGAATGGAATCGGACGATAATTTCGCGTTTTATGAGCTCCATGGATATTCAAAATATTGATCCTTTGCGGGGGGAGGTACCAGAAGGAATAGTCGGATCTCCACCATATTTGCAACAAAGCTAATGTTGATGGAAACATTGAGATGTACTAAGTTTGAATGGAATCGGATGTTAATTTCTTCATGAATATTCAAAATTATGACACTTTGTGGGGGAGGTACCAGAAGTAGTTGACCGATATATCTTATCCTTCCACTAGACCTTTGGTTTGAAAAAAAAAATAGTGTAATGTGTGCAATTTAAAGATAGTCGGAGCCTTCTTTCTCACATTTTATATGGGTCATAATTATTCAAAATGTTTACCGTTTACCGGGGTGGTACTTGATGGAGTGGATTAATATTGTCCATTTCCGCACCTATCCTAGCACCGTTGCAAATGTTAGGATTTGCAAAGTTTGGGCTAAATCGGATTATCCTTTCTATTTCGGTACAGCATTTTATTTTTTATTTATTTATTTATTTTTTTTTTTTTTTGAAAAGTTCGACAGAAGTAGTGAATCGGATCGGATTATCCTTTCTATTTCGGTGCAGCATTTTATTTTTTATTTATTTTTTATTTTATTTATTTTTTTTTTTTTGAAAATTCCGAAAGAAGTTGTTAATCGATATTGCCCATCTTTGAACT